TACACTGGCGAAAATTAGAACTTCATTCAGAAACCTAAATGAGGAGGCTTTTAGGGCGCTTTACACCGCCTACGTGAGACCCGTCTTAGAGTATGCCGCGCCATCATGGAGCCCCCACCTGAAGAAACACATAAGGAAACTGGAGAAGGTTCAGAGGTTTGCGACGAGGCTTGTCCCAGAGTTACGAGGGATGGGATATGAAGAGCGTCTGAAGGAACTGAATGTTACGACACTAGAGAAAAGAAAGAAGAGAGGAGATATGATTGGGACATATAAAATACTCAGGGGAATTGACAAAGTGGAAATAGATGAAATGTTCACACGTAATAATAACAGAACGAGGGGACATGGGTGGAAACTGGAAACTCAGATGAGTCACAGAGATGTTAGGAAGTTTTCTTTTAGCGTGAGAGTAGTAGAAAAATGGAATGCACTTGGGGAACAGGTTGTGGAAGCAAATACTATTCATACTTTTAAAACTAGGTATGATAGGGAAATGGGACAGGAGTCATTGCTGTAAACAACCGATAGCTAGAAAGGCGGGATCCAAGAGTCAATGCTCGATCCTGCAAGCACAAATAAGTGAGTACAAATAGGTGAGTACAAATAGGTGAGTACACACACACAAGTGTGTTGAGTTACCGCTAAAAATGATGACAAATGCATGAAACTCCACAGAAAGTAATATTTTGTCCCTTGGGGCAATTTTCTATGGTGACAACCCCCCAAAAAGATTTAAACCTTTACCACATTTTTGGACACACTCTCTTCCTCTCCCACAACCCCCCCCCTCCTCCCCCCCCCCTTCCCTTGTCTACAATCTCCCTTCCCTTCTCCCCCTTCCCCCCTCTTCCTTCCCCGCCAGCTAACAAGGTCACAAATTACTTAACCACCATTTAAGAAGTTTGCTGTTCCATCACTGTGGTGTTGAGTATGACACTATGTGAGTAAGAGCACACACTGGCTCCTTCCTCACTCTCTTCCCCCCTCCTCCCCACTCTTCCTCTCTCTCTCCCCACTCTCTCTCTCTCCCCCGCCATCCCACTCTCCCTCCCCTAATCCCCCCTCCCCCTCTCACCCAATCCGTCCGCCTAATAGAGCGTCGCATTTTGACGTACTCTCTCCCTAAGACCAAAACTCGTCGTACTAGAAAATCGAAGCGGCTCGCGAAATTGACATACTGTCCCGTTTTCTGTTTTAGGTCCTCTGGCCAGGATAAGGGTACGTTAGCACGACCTAACCCCATGTGAACAAGAGGTGTGGAAAGTAATTCAACATGAGGTGCCAAGAGTTTCTTGAAACTAGACCCCAGGGTAGGAGACCTAGGGAGGAAGACCTAGGGTACGTTAGGAGGAGATTTCGGATGGAGGCCTAGGTTGGGAGGCCTATCGTGGGAGACTCAGGGTAGGAGACAGCCAGAACCCACTTTAGATGATGTATTAATCTCTCTTGAAGAACACCTGGAGGAGTTAGAAGCCACATGAGCAGTAGGGGACACCCCCAGATATCCCCGTGATTACTGAAGAAACTGGCTGAGGTACTCTGTTATCCTCTTACAAAATATAAGATGGGAAAACAGAAGGAAGAGAAACAAAAGTAATCTACACCTTAAGGAAATGGTAATTACAAGCGTTCGAAATATATAAGATTTGGGGGTAGATAAAATTTCAGAAAATTCAGAATACATGTAACCCGGATAGCATCAGCAGGATATGCGAAGCTCGCAAACTTAGAACTCCTTTAAAGACCTTATGAAATACTCTTTTTCTTCAAAACAATTTACACAATCTATAAACTTTCCAGCACTACATTACGCAGCACCGGCATGGAATCCACTTCTCCTGATGCCTTAAACGTAGCATTTAATAGTGCAAAGCCTTGCAAGAAGCCTGGAACCTGAGGTGATGGTTTTGAGCTACAAAGAAATTGAAAAAGACTCAATATCTCACACACACATCTCGAGGAGAGAAGCAACAGAGGGGGATATGATCACGGCATGCATAATACACATTAGTGAAACAGTGGTGTTAAAACACAACATCACCGTCCACAAAAGGTAGAACCGTCTCTCGAGAGACAGCTCTCCAGAAGGTGGGGTCCAAGAACTTGAGTCTCATCGCTAATTGACAGCGTTAGGTAACCTATCCATGATCCCAACACTATCATTGGCTGCCATTGTGTAACACGGGGAGGGTGTTTGGACTCCAGTCTATTGGAGTCCAGAAGATTGGACTCCAGTCCAATCTTCACTGTCCTGTGATGGTGTGTGCGGCCAAGGGAACTGTGGTGGGTGGCAAGAGGTGACTCGGGCGGGCTATCGATTAAACAGCTTGTATTGGCTGGTATCTGCCTGCATGGCAAAGGACTACATCACACGCTCACACACACACACACACACACACACACACACACACACACACACACACACACACACACACACACACACACACACACACACACACACACGCTCCCAATCAGGACTTCCCTCATCTTGCCTTCCCCTTAGCGGACATTACTGCTACCCCTCACTTCCCTCACCTCTCTCACTTCCCTCACTTCCCTAACCTCTCACCTCCAAGATATTCATCCCTCACAGCCCGCGACCTCAGTATCGAGGTACCATAATCCCCAGGACCCCAGACACTGTCCAGGACAGTATTGGACACAAGGGGACGACCTATCAGGACGCAGCACCAAGCCATTGCGACTATATAGCACTGGGAAGGGGGCAGGATAAGGATTTGGGATGGGACGGAGGGGGGGGGGGGAAAGGAATGGTGCCCAACCACTTGTGGACGGTCGGGGATTGAACGCCGACCTGCATGACGCAAGACCGTCGCTCTACCGTCCAGGTCAGCCAGGGGCAGCTGGGTATTGAGCAATCTATCCATGGTCTGCGCGGTCCCAAGTTCACGCAGCCCACTCTCACACATTCAACAATTTGAAAAGACTGAAAATCGCGTTTTTTCCTCAAATATAAATTCATATTATTATATATTATGACTTATATTAGGTTCTGTCGGAGGATATTTGTAGTTTGCGATTCGAACTGATTCGAACTGAGGTCATCAGCTCGAGAAGTATTCGAACATCACCCATTGCGATGTTTCGAATGGGTTTCGGGGGGATCCTGTTGCTTAGGGTTCGAATCCGTCTAAGGTCTGGTTAATATACAAATGACTACGACCCTTTCGTTGTATTATTTGCCTGTGGCATTGAATCCCCCCCCCCTTTTTTCCCCTTCCGAGGCTCGTGTATTGCTTGCTCGTAATCAGCATGGAACGGTCGAAGCTTGGGTTATCGAACCCTGGTATCGATGCCGCAGGAGGCGATACCGAACCAGTGAACCAACATAGCTTTCGCCTCGGTAGCTGTGCCTCTATACAACTCTTGCTTTGTTATTGGGCGGCAAAATGTGAAGAAAGCTGTGCAATTTTGGCGGCGGGAATGTGTACATTCTGGCGCTGTTGTTGTGTTCTTACTCGTGCATCCGGAGGAATGCGTTTTTGACAACAAATCCGCATTTGACAACAAATCCGCCTCTTAGACGCCGCAAAGTATCAACAAAAGTTTAAATCTACACGAATTTATCAAATAAATTCCTATAAACGTACAATAGAGAGAGAAAGCCTGATCAAAGATATGTAACCAAATCAAAAGTATTTTAGACTACCCTATATTTCTATATAATCTCTCCGGCTTAGCCCCTTCTTTTGATAATTAATTACTTAGACTAACCTACGCTAATCATCTTAATCTAACCAAACGTAATCTAATTACACAGCTAACCTTAACTAGGCCTAGCCTAATTAGGCGCAAATATTGTGGGCGACCACATGGATGGTTCGTAGACAATAATATAAATAGTAATTGATGGCACTGTATCACTGGGAAATGGCACTGTATCACTGGGAAATGGCACTGTATCACTGGGAAATGGCACTGTATCACTGGGAGAAGGCACTGTATCACTGGGAGATGGCACTGTATCACTGGGAGATGGCACTGTATCACTGAGACAGGGCACTGTATCACAGAGAGATCAGTGATACAGATAAATGCTACATAGAAGAAAAAAAACTTCCTAACAAATTAGTAACTTAGCACAGCGTGTCAGCAAGGCGGACAGCTCACTATATCCCACACAATTCTGCACCATTTTCTTTCACCTGTTCTGTCCCATCACTTATCCCCCCATCACCCAGTCCCAGAGGATAGGGGATTGTGGGGGCTATCCAGAGCCTAATATAGGCCTGTAAATCTTGTGTGATTTCAGATGGAGGGAGGACATTTTTCCCATCACTGTATTGCGCGCATTAACCACTACCCCATCATTAGTGGTGATGGGGGGTTAAGGGGGGGGGGAGCACCCGCGGGCAATCAATGGTAATTTCAGTAGTAAAAATAAACCGCAGTTTGCACTCCATGAATTTTATGACCTTTTAACATGAAGCCCTGGATTTTGATTTTTAAAAAATCGTGTTATGGTTGAATTTGGTGTATTCTGTTTGTCTCTCTTTCTCTGTGTGTGTGTGTGTCTGTCTCTGTGGCTTTGTCTCTGTTTCTCTCTTTCTCTGTCTGTTTCTGTCTCTCTGTCTGTCTCTGTCTCTGTCTGTTTCTGTCTCTCTGTCTCTGTCTCTCTGTCTCTGTCTCTATCTGTTTCTGTCTGTCTCTCTCTCTGCCTCTGTCTGTCTCTCTCTCTGTCTCTCTCTCTGTATCTCTGTCTCTCTCTGTCTCTGTCTCTCTGTTTCTCTCTCTCTCTCTCTCTCTCTCTCTCTCTCTCTCTCTCTCTCTCTCTCTCTCTCTCTCTCTCTCTCTCTCTCTCTCTCTCTCTCTCTCTCTCTCTCTCTCTCTCTCTCTCTCTCCCTCTCCCTCTCTCTCATCAAGCCTCAATACTCCATAACCATCTATCCTGACTACAAAATCTAGGCCAATAGACCAGAACTGGTCTACAGGTCGTGACACACAATTCTCACCTCTCTTATCTCTTATCATTGCAGCCGGACCATCTTCACCTCCTTCCAGTTAGAGGAGCTGGAGAAGGCCTTCAAGGAGTCCCACTACCCTGATGTCTACGCCAGAGAGATGCTGTCTCTTAAGACTGATCTCCCGGAGGATAGGATCCAGGTACGTTGGGGTAGGGTACAAGGTATGGGGAAGAGGTTACAGGAAGGGTAAGTGGGGGTGTTACCTTTGGAGGAGCAGGTAAGACATACTTCTGGTAGGTTGGGGTAGGGTCCATGTTATAGGGAAGGGTCTTAAGGAAGGGAAAGTGGTGGGGGTGTTACCTTTGGAGGAGCAGGTAAGACATATGCAGGCGATGAGGTAAGACATAGATAGGTTGGGGTAGGGTCCAAGTTATAGGGAAGGGCCTATAGGTAGGGCAAGTGGTGGTGTTACCTTTGGAGGAGCAGGCAAGGTAGGCTTCAAGTAGGTTGAGGTTATCTTGAGATGATTTCGGGGCTTAGTATCCCCACGGCCCGGTCCTCGACCTGGCCTCCACCCCCCCCCCCAGGAAACAGCCGTGACAGCTGACTAACTCCCAGGTACCTATTTTACTGCTAGCTAACAGGGGTATAGGGTGAAAGAAACTCTGCCTATTGTTTCTCGCCGGCGCCCGGGATCGAACCCGGGACCACAGGATCGGAGGGTGCGGGGGAATTTGTAAGAATATGTTAATTATGTTTATATAACATTCCAAGTTTCATAAAAATATACATTGGACAAATATGGATAAAGATTTTGATACATGAATTAATAAACACCAGGAGCCGGTCGGCCGAGCGGACAGCACGCGGGACTTGTGATCTTGTGGTCCTGGGTTCGATCCCAGGCGCCGGCGAGAAACAATGGGCAGAGTTTCTTTCACCCTATGCCCCCCTGTTACCTAGCAGTAAATTAGGTACCTGGGTGTTAGTCAGCTGTCACGGGCTGCTTCCTGGGGGTGGAGGCCTGGTCGAGGACCGGGCCGCGGGGACACCAAAGCCCCGAAATCATCTCAAGATAACCTCAAGATAACACAAGTATAGTGTTATAACTGACCCGAACGTCCAGCTCCCTACACATGCACAATGCTAACCACAATAACATGATGAATCCAAAGTCAACAATGCACCCCCATATATAGCGATATATAGAACCTCTCACCCTCCCTCCCTCCCCCCCCCCCACCACCTCACCACAGAATAAAATTATATCCTTCTGAGACACAAATCCGACAAATTAATCCCAATTAACTTTCAAGTTCTCACAAGTGGAAGGTGACCTGAGCTGCCGTGACCTCTCCCTCTGCGGCCTCGACCTGGCACTTGACCCCTGAATGGTTGACGGGCGGTCAAAGAATGGGGGCGGGGCGGTTAATGCTGTGGGCATATAGGATTAACCCTGGATAATCCTTGACAAGCTGCCAGGCGGTCAAGATGAAGGTGTTTGACCACCTCAAACATTAGTAATTCTTCACTATCTATCTATCTATATCTATCTATCTATCTATCTATCTATCTATCTATCTATCTATCTATCTATCTATCTATCTATCTATCTATCTATCTATATCTATCTATATGTTTAGGATTTTGGGTTTGTTATAGCTGTTATTTCTATTTTTTAATGTAGGTAATTTTTTTGTATTTGTGGGGATTGGGTTCATATCTGTAGGGAAGTGATCGAGGCAGCTGTGGTGGTTGGGAGATTGATTTCATACTATCTTTATTCTCTCTCTCTCTCTCTTTCTCTCTCTCTCTTTCTCTCTCTCTCTCTCTCTCTCTCTCTCTCTCTTTCTCTCTCTCTTTCTCTCTCTCTCTCTCTCTCTCTCTCTCTCTCTCTCTCTCTCTCTCTCTTTCTCTGTCTCTGTCTCTGTCTCTCTCTCTCTCTCTCTCTCTCTCTCTCTCTCTCTCTCTCTCTCTCTCTCCAAGGATGAAGAGGGAACAGGAAGTGAAGGGGGGAGGGATAAAGGACATGGAACATGAAGGGAGGGAGGAGAATGAAAGAGAATAAACAGGAAGGAAGTAAAGGGGAACGAGAGAGAACAAGAAGGGAACTATCAGGAAAAAATCAGCAAGCCATTACGACTATATAGCACAGGGAAGGGGGTCAGGATAAGGATTTGGGATGGGACGGAGGGAGGTTATCTTGAGGTTATCTTGAGATAATTTCGGGGCTTTAGTGTCCCCGCGGCCCGGTCCTCGACCAGGCCTCCACACCCCCAGGAAGCAGCCCGTGACAGCTGACTAACACCCAGGTACCTTTTTACTGCTAGGTAACAGGGGGGGCATAGGGTGAAAGAAACTCTGCCCACTGTTTCTCGCCGGCGCCTGGGATCGAACCCAGGACCACAGGACCAGGGAGGGGAAAGGAATGGCGCCCCAACCACTTGTGGACGATCGAGGGGATTGAACTCTGACCTGCTTGACGCCAGACCGTCGCTCTACCCTCCACCCCCCAAATAATTAGACGAGAGAACAGGTTACCGAAATGAATCATTACCTCTGAAGGCAGTTAGTAGCATAGGTGATAACAAGGTTATCGGGGGGGGGGGTAATTAACAACGGGTGATAAATGGCGGGAATAATTAGCATTAGCAGCGCCAATTATCGCAGGTGTTGTGTATAGATTATCAGAACTTGTTGATTACGTGTTAATTAAGAGAGCGAAATCGCAGTAACTTCTTCATTTTTATTATTATTAATTAATATCTATTATTATATTCAGTTATTTAACAAGACACACCATGCATTTCTATGACGTCATAATCACCATTAGTTCAGTTTTGCTTCGTTGCTTGATTGGCAAGAGGGGGGGGGTAGGGGGGGTGTTGGGGGGGGGGGAGGAGTAAATCTAACCAGGTAATTGGTCATAACTGCCGAACAAGGTCGTTCGTCTTGTCTTAACTACCAGTTAGCGAGGTTCCGGCTATCAACACCACAACAGCGATGAAGGGAAGGGGATTTTTTTTTTTTTGAGGTGGGAGGGAGGGTAGGGAGCAATTATGGGATGGGTGTGAAGGTGTGGGATGGGGGGGGGGAAGGGATAGGGGATAGAGACCTGGATAGGTGGGACGTTGGGGGGGGGGAGGAAGAAGGAGGCCAGAAAAATTGGAGTTTTTTTTATTAATTTTTATTAATATTATTTTCTACCACAGACGTGGCCAGACATTTACAATGCTAACCAGCATATTTACATTTTATTCTGTCCTCCATGGACAGGGTGAGAGATGTGTTAAACATAGAGTTCAGGGGTTTATTTAACAATCAACCACAGGTGATTGTAGTGCTATAAAATGCTAATCTAACCTACATACATGAATACATAAATACAGAGATTTACATCTGCCCTACATATGCAGTGTTCGAGGTGTGTTTTTTACATAGTGGCATTATTGTGCATTTTCAAAGGTGAAATGCCATTCTGACCAGTTTACAAGTGCCCTGTATACACATATATTATATATATACATATATTTGTCTGTCCTACTTTGGCAGGGGTAAGATAACTGCTATAGAAACGAGTCTGTTATTAAGTAATTAACCACTGAATGTGATTAAGATGCTTTTACAAGCTCAGGTTATAATTATATTACATATATTACATAACAGATGCATTACATGGTTAATCTTGGGTACAAGTCCAATATATCATCAAGTGTTCCAGTACTCATATAGTAGTTACAGAGTTCAGCATACCTCAGCCCAGGAGGGCGAAAGTCAGTCAGTATGGGACATTCTACAATATAATGTTCAAGAGAGTGCATGTTTTCTCTTTCACAAAGTTGACACATTGTGTACTCGACATTTGGGTGTTGAGAAAGTTGCCAGATACGTCTATATCCCAGGCGTATTCTGGCCACTATAACATCACATTGCCGGGTTCTTGCTCTATTAGTCCCATATGTGAATGTCTCCTCACGATATCTATCATAATATTTAATGCTACAACTTTCAGGTCTTTGTGAATTTGTTAGGTCGGTGAGATTTTCATTAGATATTTGTTTAAGTATTCTCTTTGTCACTGCTAATGAAACACTCATATCAATTTCTACCACTGGTTTTCTGCAGGCTGTCTTAGCAAGCATATCAACAGTGTCATGCCTTGAGATGCCAACATGTGATGGTATCCATAGGAATTTAATCTCAAATCTGTTTTCTTTAGCAGCTAAAACATTCATTCGAATATCACTGACTATTTTCTGGGTGTCACTACTATGTGCATTCAATGCCAGGAGTGCACTCTGCGAGTCACAGTATATAAGTCCACTGCCTTTGTCTTTTAAAAATGCCGTGGCAAGGTATATGCCTGCAAGTTGGGTTTGAGTTGTACTTGCCCAGTCATTGACGCGCTTCATTGCTGTATGTACGAGAGAAGATTGTTCTAAATATATTACATGTACATCCGGTTTTGACACCATTGTTGTTCAAGAGACAACTAGAGGTTTCAAGAACGAGGCTCCGGGTAATAGGAGCTTAAATCATGGTATTAACCAACCTACCAGTGACTACATATATATATATATATATATATATATATATATATATATATATATATATATATATATATTATATATATATATATATATATATATATATATATATATATATATGTGTGTTGGGTACGAAATGACTCTTCGCCGGCTTGACGAATGTGAGTGTGAATGTACAGGAACCAGTGATGGGGGTCACTCACAATCCTTTTACAATCCCTCATCACTCCCCACAACCCTCCCCATCACCCCCACAACCCTCCCCATCACCCCACAACCCTCCCCATCACCCCACAACCCTCCCATCACCCCCAAACCCTCCCATCACCCTACAACCCTCCCCATCACCCCCACAACCCTGCCCATCACCCCACAACCCTCCCCATCACCCCCAAACCCTCCCCATCACCCTTCAACCCTCCCCATCACCCCACAACCCTCCCCATCACCACCCATGACCCATCACCGCAGCTATATATCTCTTCCCATTCTTCCACCGTCAAATTCCTCACCCCTCCCCTTCCCCCCTTCCCCCTCACCCTCCCCCCCTTCCCCCTCCCCCCTTGGCTCGTCCTCGTTATGAAGGGTGATAGCCTGGTACTGTAATTAGCAACAGACACGAAAGGTGTTAATAAACCTATCTAGGAGAAGG